ACATGTGACTGTCCAGTTTTTTTTCAATTTTTCTTTTAATCTCATGAAACAATGAGTCTCCAACCTTAGGGGGGAAGGAAACCCTCCTCCCATAGCATTGGGATAGGATAGGGAAAAGTTGGGAGTTGTGAATACAGACAGATTGGCATCTCATTAAATTAGCCGTGTAATTCCAGTCCTGATCTGGAAACGATGTTTTTCTGGAGAGAGATGTGGCTGCTTTAATGAATCGCCAATAGGTACCATCCATGGGGCAGTCTCAGACTGACCCATTGTTGTGTGTGTGTGGGGGGGCAGACGTCAGTGCAGCAATGGGCCCACCCCCAATGCAGGTGGTCCTCGGCTTACGACCACAATCGAGCCCAGAATTTTGATTTCTAAGCAAGATGGGTGAGTTTTGCTCCATTTTACAACCTTTTTGTGCCACGGTTCTTAAGCGAATCACTGCAGTTATTAAGTGAATCACACCATCATTAAGCGAAATTGGCTCCCTCCCACCCGATTTTGCTTGTCGGACGTTGACTGGGAAGATTGCAATTGGGCCCTGGATTGTGCAATTGTCATAAATACATACCAGTTGCCAAGTGCCCAAATTTGGATCACCTAACTGTGGGGATACTGCCATGGTTGTAAGTGCGAAAAATGGTCAAAAGTCACTTTTTTCCAGCACTGTTGCAACTTTGAAGGGTCATTAAACAAATGATTGTAAATTGACGATTATACTTTGGATCGAGACCATCCAATGGTTTCTGGCTGTGCCTTTCCCCAGAAAGACAGTGGTACATATCCTATTACAGATAATCAGAGTTGGAAGGGACCTTGTAGGTCATCTAGTCCAACCCCCCTGCCTGTTGTAGTTAGCTGGCAGCAGGTGCGGACGGCTGAGGAGAGCGAGGACTCAGATGAGGGGCCAGGACCATTAGGGAGTGGACTGCTGCCTTCAGAGATTGTGGGGGCTGGCAGCAACGATGAGGAGGTTCCCGAGGAGCCTGTGCCAAGCCCGGGTGCGCGCAGGGTTGCTCGCAGAAAAGAGCAGCTACAACAGCACAGGCGACTCGGGAGTAAGGCTGCAAGGTAATGGCCCCCTACTTCAAGAAGATAAAAGGCAGCTGTGAAATGAACGTTGTTTGCAGGAAGCAAAGACGTTTTGAAACTCAGCCTCGTGGACATTACAGTTGGTATTTGAAGACTCTTGTGTTGTAAACCATTTCTTATCTGTTGTTTTTTTGGCAGCTTTGCAAAAACTTGGCAAGGCTCTTTCTTGTCAGAGCTAATTAGTTGGAAGCAGCCTTTGATCAGTGAAGAAACAGGATTCATAGATGAAACATTAAAAGGTTGGGCTGCTGCCTTTGTCTTGTGTTTGTCCTCTTGGAACAAGGTTTGGGTCAGAACACCGCCTAAGCAGGAGACCCTACACCAGTACTGGCTAACCTTTTGGGGCTCCTGTGCCAGAAATTGTGTGTGCCCTTGCGCGCACACACTCACATGCCAGCGCCCAGAAGGCAATGCGCGCACCCCCCTGCCCCCTGAGCATGCACGCGCAACACCCCCACCCCACTTCCGTACCTGCACACTGTACCTCCCAGCTGATTTTCGGCCCATTTGAAGCCTTTTTCGGCCTCCCAGAGGCTTGAGCTGCAGCCTTTGCAGACTGAAAAATGGGCCTGTTTCATCACTTCCGGTATTTCTGGAAATACAGGAAGTGATGAAACGGGCCTATTTGTCGGCCTGCCAAGGCTTTCCTCGAGCCTCTTGGAGGCCGAAAAAGGCCTCAAACAGGCCAAAAATCAGCTGTGAGGCACGCGCATGCGCAGTGAGGTAAGTTTGCCTGCAGCTCACGTGCCGGCACAAATGGCTCTGCATGCCAACCGTGGCACACGTGCTATAGGTTCGCCATTATGGCCTTACACCATTTCTGACAAATGGCACAGATCCCACAGCAGTAGTCAAGACTTAACACAACAAACGTTTCAAAGAACAGCCAGGAGGACACAATGATGCTTTTACGTTTTAAAGAACGCTTTCTTTTAATTATTTATACTGGTGTCAAGTACAAAAAAATCCCCAACCAAATGAACAAAAAAAGTGCTTCGTTGTTTTTTTGTTTGTTCGTTTGTTTAAAGATTCCCCAGCCCCGCAGTTCCAGGACCAAACTCCAGCTCCTTTGCCCCTTTCTTCCCACAGCGGTTTGCCCTCCCACCCTAAACGACACTCACTTTGACACAAACAAGACAACGTATACAAGTGTAGGCAAAAGTCAACTTGGACGCCTAAACGCTTCACGACAAATCGATCGTGGCCTCTTTGGAAGGGATTCTTGGAAATGCTCCTTTGCAGCGGTTAAGCGTTCCACCTCACTCACCCTGCAAATCTGCACTTCCCAGCATTACGGGGTTCTTATTTAAAATAGGGTGTGCATGCACACAGGGGAAGCCCCTGGTGACTCCACAACCTCAAAAGCAACGGGGGGAAGTTCAAGAAATCCCACGCCATGGGAGGTTCGCTCAAATCGTTTCCCAGCCTTTCTTCAGAATGGTCCACCCAATCCCCTCGGTGATGACCCGTGGTGGGATTCAAATTTTTTTTACTCCATGGGCATGGCTCGGTGGGTGTGGCAGAGAAAGCATACTGCAAAATCCCCCTTCCCTCCCCACCCCACTGACCTGCTTTCCAGCTCCGTTCTCCTGTGCAGGGCAACCAAAGGAGACCCAGCCGATCAGCTGGGACTCAATGGGAGGCAGAGAAGAGATGGGGGTTGGCGGGGCCAGTCAGAGGCGGTATTTGCTGGCTCTCCGAACTACTCAAAATTTCCGCTACCGGTTCTCTAGAACCGGTCAGAACCTGCTGAATTCACCACCTCTGGTAATGAACCAGGACGTGGCACAGAGATAACATGCACAGCTGGTAGGTCAAACTGGCACCTTTGTGCTCCAAATCTCCCCCAAATGCTCCCATGTTGCTGACAAGTCCCTGAGCAGGCTGATAATAAACAAACACACACACACACACACACACACACACCCCACAAACCTCAAGCAGGCTCTGGTTGCAATTAGTCCAGCCCAGTGCTGTCTGCACCAAGGCTGCACGGCAATAGAAATCCCCAAATGTATTTGGCAAAACCAGAGCAAAGCAAGGAATTAAGGGAGAAAAATCCAGATTAATCAGTCAAGAACGCCGCACAGGGATGCAAGGTTTCTTGGCGCACTCAAACATTGGCACACTTCAGGAACTCAGCGTTTGTTCCCTCTCCCCCTCACAGCGCCTCGGTTAAGTCTCATTCCCCAGGTGTACCTTGTGAAGAGGAGTGGGACGCTCTGTTCTTGCCTTCTCTCCACTCTCCGTGCTCTCGGATCAGGAGGAGGCGGTCCTTGCCTGTCGCCTGAGCTCTGTTTTTCCCTGCTTGCAGGCCCCACTAATTCTGAAAAGCCTTGCCCGGACTGACTCTGTCTTTCCCCAGTTTCCTCCAGGGCCAACGGAGCTGCCCTCTCGCTCTGTCAGTTCTTGTTCCATCTCATCTTCCCCTGCAGATTCAGACTCTGACAATGGGGTATGGCGACACCTTCTCCTTCCAGGGAGTGCGCACAGCTGTACAGGTAGGCCTCGACTTACAACCCCAACTGAGCCCGAATTTTTCCACTGCTAAGAGAGACAGTTGTTAAGGGAGCTCAGCCCCATTTCACGATCGTTCTCACCACAGCAAATCACCGCGGTGGTTACGTTAATAACACGGTCGTTAATGCGAATCTAACTTCCCCGTTGGCTTTTGGTGATCAGAAAAGGTCTTAAAAGATGATCACATAACCACAGGATACTGTCACCGTCATAGGTAGTAGTCAGTTGTCAAACATCTGAATTTTGGTCATGAGACCATTGGGAAGCCGCAAGGGTGGAAAACCATCCAAACTCACTTTTTACAGTGTTGTAACTTTGAATGGTCACTAAACTTGATTTACAGCTCTTGTAAATCAAGGGCTAGAAAGAACGGGTGGAAACTAATGAAGGAGAGAAGCAAACTGGAATTAAGGAGAAATTTCCTAACAGTGAGGACAATTAACCAGTGGAACAGCTTTGCCTCCAGAAGTTGTGGGTCTCCATCACTGGAGGCTTTTAAGAAGAGACTGGACAGCCACTTGTCTGAAATAGTATAGTCCTGTTTGAGCAGGGAATAGAATAGAATAGAATAGAATAGAATAGAATAGAATAGAATAGAATAACAGAGTTGGAAGGGACCTTGGAGGTCTTCTAGTCCAACCCCCTGCGTAGGCAGGAAACCTACACTACTTCAGACAAATGTTTATCCATCCTCTTCTTTAAAACTTCCAGTATTGGAGCATTCACAACTTCTGGAGACAAATTGTTCCGCTGGTTAATTGTTCCAACTGTTAGGAAATTCTCCTTAGTTCTCGGTTGCTTCTCTCCTTGATTAATTTCCACTCATTGCTTCTTGTGCTGCCTTCAGGGGCTTTGGAGAATAGCTTGACTCCCTCTTTTTGGGGGCAGCCCCTGAGATATTGGAACCCTGCTATCATATCTCCCCTGGTCCTTCTTTTCATCAAACCAGACATACCCACTTTCTGCAACCATTCTTCATATGTTTTAACCTCCAGCCCCCTAATCCTCTTTGTTGCTTTTCTCTGCATTCTTTCCAGAGTCTCAACATCTTATTTTATATTTTGGCAGCAACCAAAACTGGAGGCAGTATTCTAAGTCTGGCTTTACCAAGGGCCTTATAAAGTGGTATTAACACTTCCAGCTTTCCCGCTCCCATTTGTTACCGATCCGGCTTCCTCCCCGTGAAATGAATGAATATTTTACATGTGTAGGGAAACAACACAGGAGCACTTCGCACTCCCTGTCCCAGGATCCATCCAATGGTTGAATTGCCACCCCTACCCCAATCCCCCCCCTCCCAACTCCCCCAATCCCCAACGCATCTGTTTCTCACAGAGTAGCAACATGAAGTATCTCCTTTCTCCTCCGAAATAAGCAAGTGTGAGTATCGTGGTCCAAATCGCCAACTGGCCATTTTAAAACAACTTCGGAGCTCAGGTCTGTTTTGCTCCAGTTAGAGAAGGAGGTCCAGGCTGGAACTTGCTCACCCAATTGCACTCGTCTGCCGCAAAAGCTGGTTTTGAACCCAGGGCCCCTTTGCCAAGGGGCTCTGTCATCTCTTTGACTGTTGGGATCCACTCCTTGGCCAGCTTGGAAAAAGCGATTCTCTGCCCCAGCTCAGAAGATCGGAGATACGACGCAAGTCGTGGGCTCTTTGCAAACTGGGTTTGCTTGGCCAAGTTTTGGTTAAGTCCTTCCAGCAGGACGTCAGACGAGAAGACTCTTCCGGCAAGCCAACATTCGCTCAAGGGGAAAATTTCACGCTGCAGTTGGACGCCACCACGTTGTACTTGATTAGTCCTGAGGATGGTGCTTTGGCGGGTCGGGGTTTCTCCACCAGAGGAGAGCTGGCCTCTACACGGACAAGGAGGGGTTAAAAGAGAGGAAGGCGGGGGGGGGAAATTGGGAGCACACCGTACACACCCCCAAGGGAGAGACAGTCTGGAGTCGGTCTCGTTCTAAACTCCCCAGCATGCAGACTGAGCTGACCATGCGCAAAAGTCCGTGCCATCCATCCGGCACAACGAACAGCTCGGCAAGCCTCAGGGACGCGTCAGGAGGGGTTAGGAGATACTTCCAAAAGAGGCTGGACAGGGAGGTGGGGGGACAGGGGGAGGGGGTTAAAGTGGAAAAAGAACAAAAGGAGTAAGTAGAGAAGCTGCAGCGACAGACCAAGGCATGCAAAAGAGACACACGAGGGGTGGGACGTGCCTTAACAACGTCAGAGGCCGCGGAGCATCATGTGCTGGAAGCGAAAGGATGGGCCAGTCGTGGGATGGATGTTCCTTTGGCCAGCCATTCCTGCGGGAATGGGATTACAGGTAGTCCTCAACTTACAACCATAGCCAAGCCTGGAACGTACGTTGCCAAGCGAGGGATTGCTTCAGTGAGTTCTGCCCCGCTTTACGACTTTTCCCCGCCACCTTTGTTAAGTGAACCGCCGCGCCAGTTAAACGAGTAACCCGGTCGTTCAGCGATTCTGGTCTTCCCCGTTGACTTGAAGGTCTCCAAAGGAGACGCTGCGACCGTTGTAAACGCGAGTGTATCCTGAGTGTAAATCATGTGGGATGCTGCACGGTCGTAAGGGTGAACAACCGTCCTACGTCCCTTTTTTTTCCCAGGACCGTTGTAACTTCAAACGGTCACTAAACGAGCTGCTGTAAGTCGAGGACTAACTGTGCTTGGCCAAGGAAGTTACGGGAGCTCTCCGAGGTCCTGGTGCCCGCCTTCCCGACCTGGAGGATAACCCGACGAGCATCGACTTCAACTCCCAGGGTTCCCTGCCAGGGCGTGCGGCCTGAGGAATTCTGGGAAACGAAGTCCGCTATGATACGTCTCCCCCTGGTGGCGCACAGCTCCATCCGGTGAGCTTTCTGAGCTGGGTGGCCAAAGGACTTTGAAGAAGGAGATCGATGCTGAGGCCGTGGGGGGAACCAGCCAAACGGAAGCAGAAAGTTGGGGAGCAGATGTTGAGGAGTGAGAGGGGGAAGCAGGGAGGAAAAACGGGGAAGGGGAGGAGGACAGGGAGCGAAGGGAGGAGAGACGGAGATGGAGCAGAGAAATAGAGAAGGCGGAAGAGTTAAAAGAAGTATTAAGGCAGCTGCCCCCTAACCTTTCAACGGGGCTGGTTTCCCCACAATTTTACAGTTCAGGAAGGGAATGGCCTGTTTTCAAATTAGATGTAGTTTGCCTTTGGAGAGGAGGCCACAAGGAAACCCCAATCGACTTGGACAAGGAGACCATGAGGAAATTCCCCGTTTAGATTGGGAAGTCAAGGACCCTTCCAGGAAGAAGGTGTGGCCAACCACTTCGGTGGCGCTAATTAAGGAAACTACAAACTCAAGCTCAACTCAAAGACGTTGTTAAGTCCAACGCATCTAGAAGGGCACCGTGTTGGGGAAAACCCTCCTATGAAAATACCATTGTTTCTTCTCTCCTGCCCTCCTTTTAGGGACCCCTTTAACGAGTTGCTACCCCGTTACACAGCTCCCATCCCAAACCTGCCATGAATTCTGAAGATAGATAAGCTATGCTCAGCTGGATCGGATGTCTGGTTCACCTAGTCTCGTTTCCTAAGTCTTGGAAAGTTGAAGATCTGTGGACTCCCAGGACTTTACCTGGTTTTTATATGTATTATTTATATAAATAAATATAAATATAAATATAAACCAGGCAGGTAAAAGAGTTAGAGAAAGAATGTGGTTTTGTAAGATCTGGGGGAAAAAATAAGAAGCCATGGTTGCAACCAATCAGGGCAGAGAAGGGCAGCATTATTAGCTCCACCTGTGGGATTTCTGCCTGATTCAGGGTAAGGCAGTTATTCCATTCATTGCTTTTGGCCTCGATGATGATAAAAGATGGGCCTGCAGACAGACATCGATTTCTGGTTGTCCTACCTTGGCTGAGAAGCTGTAAGTTGCGGACTTCCTCCCGCACCTGAAGCTGCAGCACCTGTTGAAGCACTTCCTGTCGCTGAGACTCCTGGATAATCCCCATGCGCTGCAGCTTCTCCCCGTTCAACCGCAAGAGGGCCCGGCCTGTGAAAAA